AACTAAAATCTCCAGCATGGGGAAGTGGGATGAGCTCGACTTTTCTCGACATAGGTCCCCTTTAAAAACTATACATACCTTCGAACTTGTCCATAGTTTGTTGCATTATATATTATTTCATATTACAACCACAAAATCTATGTCTTTTATTGAACTTTTACATAACAGAACAACATACATGAGCCCTCAGTTGTGTAGCTGGAGAGAACTGATGCATAGTTTTCAAATTTCTTTCTAATAACACCCTAGATTTAGGTCTGGACTTCAACTAGGCCATTCTAAAACATGAACAGGCTTCAGTCTAAGCAATGAATTTGTAGAGCTGGCTCTATTTAGAAGAGGTGTGCCTCTGGAACAGAAAATGGCTTTTTGGATTGTAAAGGTCGATGAAAAACATCCACCACAATAATAATAATAAAAAAAGTCTTACTCCAGGTTTTCTTACAGGATTTCCGGCAACATAATGCTGCCACCACCAGTGTGGGGACAGAGTGCTTAGTACTGTATTTCTCTTCTGCAGAAAGAACTTTGCACTTTAGCCGAAAAGCTTAGTTTGGGTCCCATTGGAATAGATTATTTATTAATTTCACAAACATAAAAATATGGATCTTTAAATTATCAACAATTAAACATTGAGCCACTGAAAAAAGACGACAGAAAGATGTTGCTGCACCTCAGAAAATACAAGAACACTACTTAAAAAGAACAGACATGAGATATAACACTATTGCTCAATACTGTTTGCTTATAAACAGTAAAAGTTATATTTTTCTAACTTTACACAGTGATGATGTGCTGTGGAGGCGGAGGGGTTAAGCACAACCCACATATGGAGGCCTTAGTCCTCGTCGTGGCCGTTGCTGGTTTGATTCCTGACCTGGCGACCTTTGCTTCCCCTTCTCTCATTTCCCGCTTTCCTGTCAATTAACTATCAAATAAAAGATAAGAGCCAATTAGATTAGAGCCAATAAAACCTTAAAAAAAAAACTTTATAGAGTGAAACATTCCACTCTGTACCTACATCCCAATCCCATAAACCTCGAAACTGATGCCCCCTTTTTTTTTTTGTACAATCGCAGATATATCAATCAATCAAATTGTATTTGTATAGCACATTTCAGCAGCAAGGCATTTCAAAGTGCTTTACATAATGAAAATAAAAACAGCATGTGACATTGAATAAATAGTGAGAAAGAGAAAGACATTTTGAAAAAGATTTAAAAAGATAAAAACATTAAAACCAGCTCCCTTTTAGGACTTCAGTTAACTGTCGTTTAACTGGGACTCTAACCCTCTGGGACTTTAGTCACAAACACCGTTTGACAAGAACTCCAACCTCTAGGTTTTTAGTTGAAACACCGTCAACTGGGACTCTAAACCCCGTAGGACTTTAGTTAAACGTCATTTAACAAGGATTCTCACACCCCTAGATATAGATTCGTTGAACTGGGACGTTTTCCGGGGGGCTTTACATAGACAGTGTGAAAGAAAAATAAGAAGAAGTTAATAACTAGATGAAAAGTAAAGATAAAAACATTAAAAACATCGAAGACATCAAAACCCACACTCTAATCCTAATTTAGCCATTTGCAACTCTAAACAGGTGGGTTTTAAGTTGAGATTTAAAGGCACCCAGTGTTTCAGCTGTTTTACAGTTTTCTGGAAGTTTGTTCCAAATCTGTGGTGCATAGAAACTGAATGCTGCTTCTCCTCATTTTGTTCTGGTTCTGGGGATGCAGAGCAGAACCAGAACCAGAAGATCTGAGGGGTCTAGTCGGTTGGTACAGCAATAACAGATCTTTAATGTATTGTGGTGCTAAACCGTTCAGTGATTTATAAACTAACAGTATTTTAAAGTCTATCCTCTGAGCTACAGGGAGCCAGTGAAGGGACTTTAAAACTGGTGTTATGTCTCTATCTTCCTGGTTTTAGTGGATTAGTGGATATATTTGCGCATCCATTGCTTTCCTTCATGTACCTCTTTCAACAGTTTATTGGTCTTCGGGTTTCTAAATGCCGTGCTGCGCTCCGTTTTGCACACACGGTGGCGCTGCTTCCCCATGTAACCAACCGAGGCCCCCCCGGTCTTTCTGCGTTATGAGCTCACATAATAACGACCTGGCTGTAATGATATGGGCTCCCGACATAATGAGCGGCTGTAACTGAAACTCAGGAAGGGGCATGATTTTCAATTTCCGACAGAATAAAGATGGACGCGCTCCAAATGACTCTGAACAGGGCTGTCATTAGGCTGCAGCTCCCAGGCAGCGGCTTCTCAAACGTGGGGCTTGGCGAGGACGAGCACAGCGGCTCCAAAGGGGAACGCACAGGTCCACGTGTGTTTTAAGCAGCAGAATGTTGAGATAATATATATATATATATATATATATATATATATATATATATATATATATATATATATATATATATATATATATTCAGCTAAGACAGACAGATTTCAATACAAACCGGGCAAAACATACTGTGTTATTTTCTTTTTTAATCATTCGTTGGTATTAACAAAGTTTAATCTATTACTCAAATAGTGGGATTCCTTCAAATGGCCTTATGATCAGTTTAAGACGTCAGTGGAGACGGTATCAAAATGTTTCCATCAAAAGTTTGTTTTTGCCTTTTTTTGTCTTTTTTTTTTTGTAATATCTTGAGGACCATAGCTGAAATTGTAAATGATACTACATTCAAATTTGGATTTTTGTCAAAAAACAAACAAACAAACAAAAAAAAACCCCCAGTGATGTCAGATTTTCTGCCAAGTTATCACATTATTGGCGGCCCACATAGCCACAACCTTCCTACGCTATTCGATTTAAATCTCACTTCGCAACTTAATCGAGGCTTTCTCCCATTAACTCTGGACTCCTCCAGCAGAATTTCTACCGGGCCAATCAGTGAACAGGAGGAGAAGTTGGGAACGACGACGTCAATTTTCTGTGATGTTTTACAATCCTAATGTGCCTGGAGTTTTAACAATGGCAGCGGAGGAAGTGAACAAATCCATGTTGACCAAGCTTCCAAATATAATTTAAGTTGACAACCGAGTTGTTCAGCTCTGCACTACTTTCTTTGCAGTGGAGGACGGTTGTTTACAGCGCAGGCAACTTCAGGTAAGCTTCATATCATCGGACTGGGGCATTACAGATGTCAGGGGCAAACCCTAGAAATTGTTTCTCAATGGTTGAGACCATCTGCACGAAACAAAGCGTAGAACATGGGACTGATTTTTACTAGGCTACATTATCACTGGATTATTGTTCATTTTGTGCTTTGATTGCCTGTCTGGAAAAAATGGGATTTCTTTACATTCTGATAACCTGGAGAATCACAACAATACTGTATTTCTGCAACAATTTGACTGACTTGTTTTTTTGATATTATAAATGTTCTTAAGCATTTGTCTTATTTGTAAGTGAGCGAAACGTGTAGGCTCTTCAGTTCATCCAGTTGACCAGCAGAGTGCAGGTGGTGGAGGGTCGAACCAGCTTTAAGCTCCAAACATCTTATAACTTCGTAGCACAACTGGCATTCTCAATAACCCCCCCTCCCCCCCCCAACTCGAACCATTAAAATGGCATGATGGGAAATTTGACCGTTTTCAAAGCAAGCAAAGCTTTTTGAACTCTTGATATACCTTTACAGCTGTAATTGGTGAATAATGGCTCTCAATGTGGTTCAGTTCCCACATTGTATAAAAGCCTTTGTAACACTTTCAAGACTGAAATCAATGTTGATGATTTTATTTCTTCTGTTCTTGAAGTTCTTCAGATCAGGACATGAAGTGTTGCTTTTTGAGATTTTTCAGTAAAATTCATGTGGTCAGACAGGGTCTGTTTCAGTGATTTCTAAACTTCAGATTGTGTTTTATCACTGGTCCAGGCTGGTTTGGATCAAAGTCATAATTAAAAATCTGAAACACTGAAGTGTAACAAAACTGAATGCAAGAGGAAAAGTAATTTGTCCAAAAGCTGTTACGTAAATCCAATATTACTCTCATTTGAGGGTCTCTGTGAACTCGTTTCACAGCATTTATTTCAACGGTCCTCAGAAATGAGTTTGAACCAAACGTAGAGTAAAAGATCAAAACCAAGTTGTTGACAATAAGAAGACACCAGAAGAAGCCTCATCATTGTTTACCGACTGCCATTTTGACGTAACTAATGACCTGAAAAAGAAGACTGAATATGTGATAATTAGATGGTAAAAATACTTTTAGTGTCAGTGGGTTTGAGGTAAAGACTGTAGGAGACTTTGTAAAAGACGTTTCTTCACTTAAAATAACGTTAGTTTTTTATTCGCTAAGTAGTTAGCACAAGTAGTTGCTAGCTATGTTCCATGTTCACACTTTGGCCAAAAGATTTGGTAAAAAAAGTTGGTTTAGACAAGCTAAAAAACTATAACTTTTGTCTATTTAAAATTTTAGTGCAATTAAACATCTAGGTTTTTGGAACAATTGTGGTTTGAAAATTACAGTTGTATTAATATAAGAATGTAAGCTTGTTTGATATAAAGATCCAAAGGAGGATAAAATATTATTTTCTATTGTTATATGTCAGTATAAAATAATGAATTCATCATGTCGTCAACAAAAGTCTTATTAGATTGTCAGAATTTTTTTAATCTGATCATTTTTAATGCAAAACTGAACTGAAGACAGAATAATTAATTTTAACCCAAATATTACTTTTATTCAGGAATTCAAGTTACCGTCGATTCTTTTCAACTCGGGTCTTTTGACCTCAGATTGAAAATCTAACCCAGTTAGAATCTCGATTGAATCAATGGGTTGGTTTAATCCTACTGAACTAAATCAATTAAGGACCACGGACTGGCTTAGAAACCAACCGAGGCCCCCCGGTCATGAAAACAATCAATGCTGAATTGTTTGTTTTCAATTCAGCATGTGCTATAGTATATAAATACCTCCAACATCCTAATTTAAATGAATGTGCTCAGTCTCCACAATTTTAAATTTGGGTTTTAAGTAAAAATACTTAAGTGTTTGATTTAAAAACAACCAGGAGTTTACAAAGGAAAAACCAACATCTAAGGCACTGCAGACCTTACCTGCATTGGTTATGGTTCATGATTCAAAACGGAAGAAGAAAGAAAGACTGGGGGGTGGGGGGCTTAACTGCCTCAACAAGAGGGTTGTAAGGCAAAAACCACCGCTGACCAAAAACACTCGCAAGCTCATCTCACATGTTTCCAAAATATGTTAATGATCCCCAAGACTATAATGAGGCATGATGAGGTAAAAGCGTATTATGTGGATTTGGTTTTTGAAGGTGTGCATCTCATTACATCTGGGTTAACATTGCCAAACATGGTGGTGGTAATCATGAACTTGGTACTCTAGCAGAAAACCCTGAAGGAGAGTCCTGCCATCAGTTTATGACCATAAGGTAAGGTCTGGACTGAAATCCAATTGAGATGTTTTGGCATGACATAAATAGGTGTTTCTTGCTTGAACATCCTCCAATGCGGCTGAATTAAAATAATTCTGAGAAAAGTGTACCAAAGTTCCTTCACAGTGATGCAAAAGTCTAATTGCCAGTTATCTAAAATGATTCATGGTAGCTTTAAGCACTATGGTTGGTATTAGGGATTTAACCAATTAATCTACTCACCATTAATTGTCAATTAATGGTTTATTAGATTAAAATTAGTTCCAGTCGTTTAACTAATGTCTGCTTAGACCTTCTTCTAGTGTTTTAGTTTGGCCGCCATCCAGCAGAGGGTGCTGGTGGTCATCCTTAATCGGAGCCGTACAGAAACAAAGATGGCGGAGCCACACCTGAACGGGAAAGAGGAACAGCCCAGAAGGAGTCTGCTGTGGGATAGAAAATGCGCTTATTGTGGTTCTGTTTTGAAATATAGCTACACGAAAAGTAAATTTTAATAGCACTAATTCAGTGGCGTCAACTTCTCATTCAAAAATGACTGATGTGATACAAAGGTAAGATAAATAAAGCAGAAAAAGCAGAAAAATAGTAAGATGATGGGAAAAAAAATTAAGCACGGGCTGTCATGTGTAAGTTAGGGTGTAAAGTTTTAATTTTCCTTCAGAGCAAACAGTATTTCTGTATACATCTGTGTTAATGGAGGATTAAGTGAGTCACACATTTAGTTCTTTTCATCTGTTATT